TGTTATGTTTATAAGCAATGGTATAAGTTCAGCCCCTTAAAAGCAGTCTTGTAAATGGGTAAAATGAGTAAATAAGTACCATCTGCAAGTTAGATTGGAAAATGGATTGTTTTTATTTTAACAAATTTTAGAGAATTCAATTATTGTTATTATTATTGAGATGGAGTCTCACTCTGTTGCCCAGGCTTGAGAGCAGTGGCATGATCTTAGCTCACTGCCTCCTGGATTCAAGCGATTCTTCTGCCTCAGCCTCCTGAGTAGCTGGGATTACAGGTGCATGCCACCACACATGGTTAATCTTTGTGTTTTTAGTAGAGATGGGGTTTTTCCACGTTGGTCAGACTGGTCTCAAACCGCTGACCTCAAGTGATCCGCCCGCCTCTGCTTCCCAAAGTGCTGGGATTACAGGCATGAACCACTGTGCCCGGCTGAGAATTCAATTATTGACTGTGGCAGTTGGAAACAATTTTTCTCAATTTTTTTATTTTGAAAAATTTCAAACCTACAGAGAAATTTCAAGAATAGTATAGTGGATGATCATATAACCTTCACCTATTTTCATCAAATTTTAAATAATTGTTATTATTATTTTTTATAGAGACAGGGTCTCATTATGTTGTCCAGGCTGGTCTCAAACTCCTGGGCTGAAGCAATTCTACCTCCTCAGCCTCCCAGGGTGTTGGGATTACAGGCATGAGCCACCCACTGCATCTGGCTACCAATTGTTAGCATTTTACCACATTTCTGTTCTCTCTTTCATATACAAGCACAGATACATACATACATACATTTTTTTCTGAACCATTTGATAGTTAGTTGCAAACATGACACTTTTATCTCTAAATACTGTACCTCAGCATATGTCTTCAGAATACAGGGATATTCTCCTTGTACTCATTGATTATACAGCCACAATAATTAAATGCAGGAAATTTATTACCTAAAACTATTATCTAACTATAGTCCATATTCAAATTTCCTCAGGTATCTGGTAATGTTCTCTATAGCTGTTAACTTTGGGATCCAGAATCCTATTCAGGATCTTGTATTGGCATTTGTCTCTTTTAGTCTAGAATTAAGTACCTTTGTTTTGTCTTTATGACATTGACATTTTGAAGAGTTGAAGTCAGGTTTCACCCTCCCATCCCTATCCCAATGTCCTTCAATTTGTATCTGTCTGATTCTTTCTATTTTTTTGAGACAGAGCCTTACTCTGTCACCCAGGTTGGAGTGCAATGGTGCAATCTCAGCTCACTGCAACTTCAGCCTCCTGGTTTCAAGCAATCCTCCCACCTCAGTCTCCTAAGTAGCTAAGACTATAGGCATGTGCCACCATGCCCAGCTAATTTTTGTATTTTTTTGTAGAGATGGGGGTCTGCCATGTTGCCCAGGTTGGTCTTGAACTCCTGGGCTCAAGTAATCTACCTGCCTCAGCCTTCCAAAGTGCTGGGATTACAGGCATGAGCCACCGTGCCCAGCCTGATTGTTTCTTTATGATTAGACTTAGTTAAATATTTTTTGGCAGAATATTACAAATAAGTCATATTCCAATGACACCTTTTATAAATGTTTCTTATCCTTTTCTTTTAAATGTCTGAATTCATGAGTAATAAAATGTCTAATATTCTTATTTTCAAATATCTAGCAGGTCAGTTATTGGCAAATGACTCTTGTCATCACGTCATGATTGAGGCAGTAGGCTACTTGTACAGATCACTTGATTTAAGGGTGATTCACCTGGATCTTCTCATTCATCAATCCATGGAATCCTGCAGTGAGTTTCTGTTTCATGTTCCAAACAGAAATATGCTTCTGGTTATTCATGTTATATATATATATGACCTCTTGACAACTTTTCATCTTTTGCAGCCTTCTGAGAGAAATTGAGTGGATCCAGAGCTGGAGATGTTGGCCTCAAGGTATGAGCCAGTCACATTCTGAGGGTTCTAGGAATGGCTTCTCATTATGGGAGCACTTGCTTAAATTAAGCTAGCACAGTGCTCAGAGTCCTAATACAGTGAGCTCTGCAATGTAAACAAATGCAGATAACTTATACAGGGCTAAAAAATGGACTTAGCTCCTCAGACAATTTCAGATAAATCAAAATGTGCTTCTGGAAAAGGGGAAAAGAAACCCATTATTTGCAAATCTGCTAAGGAAAAGATACAATGGAAGACACAAAATAATGCTGAAATATGGAATGGTTCAAGAAAGGAAGCACCAAAGAAAGACTATTCCTCTAACATTTTATCTTTGGGTAAAATGAATGGTTTAGTAAAGCTTTCAAGGGAAAGAATTTTGTTAGCTAAAAGTGAGAGTGGAGAAGGTGAAATCACCACCACTGACCACTGTCCCCTGCTATGGCCTCTTAGCACAAAAAACCCTTGGGAATCCATATCTGAGCTCATATCAGAAAAGTGGCTTTTTCATAGCCCAGATTAAATTTTGATGTCTCAGAAGTCTTTTTTGCAGAGAAGATCTCATGTTGAAACAAAATTGTTGAAGAGCTCAAATGATATTAATAAATAATAAAAATTTATCATGGGCTTCTTGACATCTGTTTTTTCTACTTGTCTTTAATTAGAATTCTTTTTTTTGAATATTTTCTTCTAAAACACACAGAGTGATAATAATCAAGGTCTGGAAATATGATTATTTAGGCACTTAAACATTGTAACTAATTTTACCTAAGAAGAACAATTTTTAGGTGATTCACATTTCTATGGTAGGTAGAGCAATGTTGATCTCATAGTGTTCCATATCCAAAAATATACAGAAGAAATGTTATTAAAATTCTAATTGTATTATTTTTGCATTGTTATAGTTTATCCATTTTGAATTTATGAATTAATTTTTCATGTGAACAAAATTTATAATTGCTATCATCAAACCTTTTTATGAAACACAAATTTAAAAATATGTAATTTGGAATAAAACTAAAACCATAAAGTAAGTTTAAAGTACCAGAGCCATGTATTTGATATTATATCTGTTTTAAACATTTTATTGTCTCATTTTATCATTAATTTGTAAAACATTAACCATTAACTGTTAGGGATTACTTATGGGCTACTTTCTTCCCTATCACCCACCTAAATCCTACGTACTCTGTGTTAGGAAGCCAAATGGAAGAATGGGTTCAGTTGTGTGGTTTTAGGAAAGTTATTTCATCTTTCTTGGCCTCAGTTTCCTTACTGTCAGCCCTCTGTACCTGCAGGTTTGCATTTGTGGATTCAACCAACCATGGATAAAAATATTAGAAAAAAAATCAACGATGAAAAGTAATACAAATAGAAAATACAGTATCACAACTATTTACAGAACATTTACGTTGTATTGGGTATGAAAAGTAATTGAGGCCTGGTGCAATGACTCATGCCTGTAATCCCAGCGCTTTGGGCAGCTGAGGTGGGCAGATTGCTTGAGTCCAGGAGTTTGAGATCAGCCTGGGGAACATGGCAAGACTCCTGGCTCTACAAAAATACAAAAATTAGTCGGTCATTGTGGTTCACACCCATAGTAGTATCCGCTACTCAGGAGGCTGAGATGGGAGGATTGCTTAAGCACAGGAGGTGGAGGCTGCCATGCACTGTGACCATACTACTGCACTCCATCATGGGTGACAGAGCAAGACCTTGTTTTTTTTTTTTTTTTTTTTTTTTTTTAAAGTAAGCAAGATGGTTTAAAATATATAGAAGTATGTGTGTGTGCAAATAGTATCCATTTTATATAAAGGACTTGAGTATCTGCAGATTTTGCTATGTATGCATGGGGCAGGTGTTCTGGAACCAATTCCCGGCATGTACAGAAGGATGATTATATTGTAAAATTGGAGAAATTACGGTGTCTGCTTTTCAGAATTACTGAGGGGATTGCATGAGATATGGCACACAACAAGCCTTCAATAAATGGTAGTTTAACCCAGATGCCACCTTTTTCCATGAAACACCTCCATACCCCTCCATCCCACAACTGGAGCATACACTAATGCCTTGGGTTGTTTGTCTTAAACTGTGCTCCAATCATTTCACACAAGGCAGTATTGTCTCCTTGGCAGAGTGCGAGCCTTAAGGGCTATTCCCACTACCCCCCCTGCTCAAAATTAAGTAACCACAGGACAGCTTGGGAAGCCCTTACTGTCCAGTGATTCTCAGCAGGGTTCTGGCTGGGCCACATCAGTCTTCCCTGCAGAAGCTGTGTCTGACTCTGTCCACACAGAATTGTCATCAGGTAGGGATGCTGCTGTTCATTTGGCTTTAGTGGAACCACAAGCACAGGACGGGTGCAGCCTAGCAGGTTTGAGGGAAGACCTATGCCTAAGCCCTTAGCTTGGGCAGGCGCAGGAGCTGGGTGACCGTGTCCCGAGGACCTCTGTCGCCAGGTGGAAATCCAGGGCGGGGCATTGGCTTTCCCGGCTGTGTAACGGGAGTGCCCTTCAAACTTACTAAGGTCTTAAGGGGCTGGGATCCTCCAGCCAACATCAGTCCACGAGTGGAGCCTCGGCCCAGCCACCAACTCACGGGCGGTCCTGTATAGCTCTAAGCTGGGGGTCAGGGACGTCCCAGACCGGTCCTACGATCCAGGGGAGGTTCAGACTGCAGAGGCCATTAATGCAGAGAGAGGTCACCTTCTGGGGCCGGGGCCAGAGCAACTGGCATGGGAGGAGCCCTGTCCCTGCGGCCAGAGCTGGGGTCAGCCCCAGAAGGCAGGAGGAAGGTGCAGCGGAGCTGGGCTGGTTGCGCCGGGGTCGTATCTGGTCATTCCATCCCCGTGGTCTGCACGCCACCACACGGCCACCGACGCGCCACTGTGGAATTGACCGCAGCAGGCTGGGCTTGAGGCCCCCGGCCCCGCCCCGGCCCCGCCCCGCCCCCGCTTCAACCCCGCCCACCCCGCGACTCCGCCCTGGCCTGCCCCGCCCCCGACTCCGCCCCCTTCCCGCCCCGCAGCGGCCAGAGGGCCGGCCCGCGTCGCCACGTGTTCCGACGCAGCAGCCGCCCGCCTGTGGGGCAGAGCGCGGGCAGAGCTTGGGCCAGGAGGCAGCACTAGCGGAGCGGCGGCGGCGGCGGTAGCGGGCAGCAGGCATGACCATGGCAGCGGCGGCGGTGGCCCGCGGGGCCGGAGCGAGGGCGGCGGCGGCTCTGCGGGGCGGCTGCGGGACCGCGGCCCGGGGGAGGCCGTGTGCGGGCCCCGCTCGGCCCTTGTGCACCGCACCCGGGACCGCCCCGGACATGAAGGGCTACCTGTGGGAGCGCTACCGGGAGGCGAAGAGAAGCACGGACGGTGAGTGAGGCGGCGACCCCGCCCCGGCGCCTGGGGCCCCTCCTGCGGGCTCAGCTGGGAGGCTGGCGCCCTAGGACTCAGATCCGCCCCGCCGCGGACTTCCGGGGCCCTCCAGTCGCGGCCCCCGGTGCGCACACCCCCAGCCGCTGGCAGCATCGCCCCTGCCGAGCGACTCGGGGAAACGCGGAAAAATGCACTCTAGAAACTTCACAACTCGTGTCTGTGCCCTGTCGGGAAAGCTGTTGTGTACGTTCTTGGGCTTTTTAGCCTGAAATCTGCCTTTGAGGGGCTGCCCGGGGCGGAGGGGGTTCCACAGACCTCCCTGGGGAGTCTGCCCCTCCCACGCACCGTTAGGTGGTTATTCATCAACAGTAATAATAGTAACAGCCGAGTCTAGCGGGCGCAAAGATGCCCTGGAGCGGGGCTGCTGCGCAGGTGGCCGATCCGGAGGCTTGTCAGTTTTCCTTTTGGCGGGGGTGGGGTGAGGTGGGATGAGATGAGATGAGGTGAGCTGTGCGGTGTTTGAAAGAGGAGAGGTCCAGGTGGGGAAGGTTCTGGGCTATCCGTTAACCTCGGTGAGGAGGGGATTCTAAGGCGGTGAGTGAGGACTTCGGGGCCAGGTGCACATAAAATGAGCTTGGCTCGGTTGTTGCTAATGAACTAATAGTGCCAGGCACGTAGATAATCTCTAAATTGTTCTAATAGTCTACGAAGGAGGTGGTGCCACATCCCGATTCTATAGATGGGAAAGGCGAGAATCAGGTTTAAGTGACCTAGCCTGGATTTAGTCTGTCTCAGCTCCTAAGCCACTGTCTTGTTTCCTGTGCTCCGTTGACCATTTGGGAACCAATAATCCATTGGCGCTGCTGCTTCCAAGGAGGATTCAGAACCGAAATTTGTATATTGATTACTTCTTGTTGTTGAAGGTGGCACACAGAGACAGGGAGAGATTATTTGGTGAGCAACAACGTTTTATAGGATCACATTTTCCATTTTTTTGGGCCAGAAGTCAGTTTAATGAAATAAAAGCAAATTGGAGTGATTTTCAGAGGAAATGTAAAATGACTAGCAATGCTGAATTCTATGAAATGATGGCTTATTTTCTTAGTTTCCCTTGGCCAAGCGTTAATTTTGCTTTGGCTTTTGAAGCTGTTGTGTGGTATGGTGGAAAGAAGACTGGCTTTGGAGGCATTGGACATTTTGCAGGTCTTAAGAGATGAAAGAAATACAGAAGGTTATCTAGCCCAGCTTTTGGGCAGTCAAGATTTTTTTTAACTTGTAATTCTTATTGAGATAATTGTATATTTACATGCAGTTTAAGAATTAATACAGGGGCCAGGCATGGTGGCTCACACCTGTAATCCCAACACTTTGGGAGGCCAAGGCAGGCAGGTCTCTTGAGCCCAGGATCAGCCTGGGCAACAAAGGGAAACCCATTCTCTAAAAAAAAAAATGCGAAATTTAGCAGGGCGTGGTAGTGCACATCTGTGGTCCTAGCTACTTGGGAGGCTGAGGTGGGGAGGATCACTTGAGCCTGGAAGTTAGAGACTGCAGTGAGCCGAGATTGCAACACTACTCCGGCCTGGGCGATAGAGCCAGACCCTGTCTAAAAAATAAACCGAAAAGGAGTAATAGAGGGAGATCCGGCATACATACCCTTTATCCAGTTTCTCCCACAGTTAACATTTTGCAAAACAATAGTACATTATCACAGCAGTGTATATTGATAGAGGCCACAGATCAGAGTTTCCTCATTTTATTCGTACTGTGTGTGTGCACATGCATGAGAGCATGGATGCAGTTCTGTACAGTTTTCTCACATATAGGCTTATGTGTCACCCACTACAGTCAAGGGACTGAACAGTTCCTCACAAGGATCCCTCATTCTGTCTTTATAGCCCCACTGCCTCCCCCTGTCATACTCTCCCTTGTCTCCAGTCCCTGGAGCACTGTCTGTTCTCCATTTCTAGATTTTTGTCATTTCAAAAAATGTTACATTGATGGAATCATACAGTATGTAACCTTTCGGAGTTGTTTTTTTTTCACCAAGTATAATTTCCTGGAGTTTTATCCAGTGTTATGTGTATTATATCAATAGTGCATTCCTTTTTGCTGTTACTTCATTACATGCACGTACCACAGCTTAACCATTTGTTTGACCACAGATTACATTGGGCCGTTTACTCATAGTTCAGAGGATATTTGGGTTGCTCCCAGTCTTTAGCTATTACAAATAAAGATGTTGTAAACATTTGTGTACAGGTTTTTGTGTGAACATATATTTTCATTTCTCTAAATGCCCAAGAGTACAATTGCTTGGTCAAATTGCCATCCTGACTTATGGATAAGGTTTGTTACTTGCTGCCTTTGAGAACTGGGGAGGTCACTAGGCTTGAATTTTTTCGCCTGTAAAATGGGGCTGCAGGTAATGCCAGCATCATAGGGTTTGAGTGAGGAATGGATGAGTCCATCCATGAGAGGCATTTAGGACAGTGCCTGATGCATGAGACAGCTGAAGCATGGGATGGGGAAGGTCACCAATGTGATATGGTTTGGCTGTGTCCCCAGCAAAATCTCAACTTGAATTGTATCTTCCAGAAGTCCACATATTGTGTGAAGGGCCTGGGGAAAGATAATTGAATTATGGGGGCCAGTCTTTCCCATGCTATTCTCGTGATAGTAAATATGTCTCATGAGATCTGATGGGTTTATCAGAGGTTTCTGCTTTTGCTTCTCCCTCATATTTTTCTTGCTGCTGCCATGTAAGAAGTGTCTTTCAACTCCTGCCTTGATTCTGAGGCCTCCCCAGCCATGTGGAACTGTAAGTCAAGTAAACCTCTCTTTCTTTCCAGTCTCGGGTATGTCTTTACCAGCAGCATAAAAATGGACTAATACGGTAAATTGGTACCAGTAGAGTGGGGTGATGCTGAGAAGATACCTGAAAATGTGGAAGCGACTTTCAAACTGGATAACCACCAGAGGTTGGAACAGTTTGGAGGGCTCAGAAGAAGACAGGAAAAAGTGGGAAAGTTTGGAACTTCCTAGAGACTTGTTGAATGGCTTTGACAAAAATGCTGAAAGTGATATGAACAATCAGGCTGAAGTGATATGAACAGGCCCAGGCTGAGGTGTTCTCAGATGGAGCTGAGGAACTTGTTGGGAACTGGAGCAAAGGTGACTTTTGTTATGTTTTAGCAAAGAGATTTGTGGAACTTTGAACTTAAGAGAGATAATTCAGCATATCTGGTAGAAGAAATTTCTAAGCAACAAAGCATTTAAGAGGTGACTTGGGTGCTGTTAAAGGCATTCAGTTTTAAAAGGGAAACAGCATAAAAGTTCAGAAAATTAGCAGCCTGACACTGCAGTAGAAAAGAAAAACCCATTTTTTGAGAGAAATGCAAGTGGCCTGCAGAAATTTGCATAAGTAGCAAGGAGCCTAATGTTAATCCCCAAGACCATGGGGAAAATGTCTCCAGGCCATGTTAGAGACCTTTATAGCGCTCTCTCCCGCTATATGCCTGGAAACCCAGGAGGGAAAAGTGGTTTAGTGGGCCAGGCCCAGGGTCTCCATGCTGTGTGCAGCCTAGGGATTTGGTGCCCTGTGTCCTATCTGCTCCAGCTGTGGCTGAAAGGGGCTGAGGTAGAGCTTGGGCTGTGGCTTCAGAGGGTGGAAGCCCCAAGTCTTGGCAGCGTCCACATGGTGTTGAGCCTGTGGGTTCACAGAAGTCAAGAATTGAGATTTTGGGACCTCTGTCTAGATTTAAAGATGTATGGAAACATGCGGATGCCCAGGCAGAAGTTTGCTGCAGGGGTGGAGCTCTCATGGAGAACCTCTGCTACGGCATTGCGGAAGGGAAATTGGGGGTGGGAGTCCTCACACAGAGTCCCTGCTGGGGCACCACCTAGTGGAGTTGTGAGAAGAGGGCCACTGTCCTCCAGACCCCAGAATGGTAGGTAGATCCACCAACAGCTTGCACTGTGAGCCTGTAGAAGCCACAGACACAATGCCAGCCCATGAAAACAGCTGAGATGGAGGCTGTGCCCTGTGAAGCCATAGGGGTGAAGCTGCCCAAGACCATGGGAACCCACCTTTTGCATCAGCATGACCTGGATGTGAGACCTGGAGTCAAAGGAGATAATTTTGGAGCTTTAAAATTTGACTGCCTGGCTGGATTTCGGACATGCATAGGGCCTCTAGCCCCTTTGTTTTGGCCAATTTCTCCCATTTGGAATGGCTGTATTTATCCAATACCTGTACTCTCATTGTATTTAGGAAGTAACTAGCTTGCTTTTGATGGGAAGGCATGATTGGTTTTGAAATGTGAGGACATGTGATTTGCAGGGGCCAGGGGCAGAATGATATGGTTTCTCTGTTTCCCCACCCAAATCTCAACTTGAATTGCATCTCCCAGAATTCCCACATGTTGTGTGAGAGGGCAGGGGGCAGGCGAGGGTGGTGTAATTGAATCATGGGGGCTCATCTTTCCCATGCTATTCTCATGATAGTGAATAAGTCTCATGAGATCTGATAGGTTTCTCAGGGGTTTCTCCTTTTGCTTCTTCACTTTTCTCTTGCTGCCACCATGTATGAAGTGTCTTTCACCTCCCACCATGATTCTGAGGCCTCCCTAGCCACATGGAACTGTAAGTTCAATTAAACCTCTTTTTCTTCCCAGTCTCAGGTATGTCTTTGTCAGTGGCGTGAAAATGGACTAATACGTTATGGAACCAGAGTTTGGGCTTTGGTGTGTGACAGTAACATGACAGCTATGTTACTTTCATCTCTGATCTTAGTTTTCTCCATTGCAATATGGGATTAATGTGGAGATTTTTAGTGTGTGCTTGGTACTCAGCAGAAGCTCAGTAGCTACTAGCTATTATTATTTATTAAACAACTATCAATAAGAGGTGGAGGTGGGATATTTAGCTCTAGTGTCTGGGTCTCCTTGTGTTTAGGGCAGTGCCATAACTAGCTTTGTGGCCTTGAGCAAGTCACCTAA